AAAAAAGAAAAAACCCCCGTAAAAAAAAAAAAAAAAAAAAAAAAAAAAAAAAACTCCCAGAACTTTTTCTGCAATTTTAACAAGGTTGCAAGGCATAAGTTTAATACACAAAAGTCAATCTTTCCCTCTATACTGGCCAATAAGTGGAACTTGAAAATAAAAACACAATACCATTTATATCAGCACCCAAAAAAATGCAACAATTAGGTATAAATCTAATGAAACATATACAAACTTTATATGAGGAAAACTGCAAAACCTTGTTGAAAGAAATCAAAGAACTAAATAAATCGTCCATGTTAAGGATAAGAAGACTCAATATTGTCAAGATGTCAGTTTTTGCTAACTTGATCTATAAATTTAGTGCAATCCTAATTTGTCATGGACAAGGTAGCAAAGGAAATGTAATGGAAAAAAATGATAATCTTATCAACAAATGGTGTTGGAATAACTGGACATCAACATGCAAAATAATGTATCTAGACAAAGACCTTATACCCTACACAAAAATTAACTCAAAATGGATCACAGATCTAAACATAAAACACAAAACTATAAATTTCTAGAAGATAACATATGAGAAAATCTGATGACTTTGGGTTTGAAAATAACTTTTTAGATAAAACATCAAAGTCGTAATCCATGAAAGAAAGAAATAATAAGCTGGACTTCACTAATATTAAAATTTTTTACTCTGTGAAACATACTGTCAAGGAAAGGAAAAGCCAAACCACAGATGGGGAGAAAATATTTGCAAAAATATATGTCTGATAAAGGGCTGTAATCCAAAATATAAAAATAACTCTTAAAAAGCAACGATAAGAAAACAACCCAATTTAAAACTAGGCCAAAGATCTTAACAAACAACCCACAAAAGAAGATATACAGGAGGCAAATAAGCATATGAAAATCTCAGCATCATACCTCATCAGGAAATGCAAACTAAAACGAGACACCACTATACAACTATTAGAATGGCCAAAACCCAGAACACTGATAACACCAAATGCTGAGGAGGATGTGGAGCAACAGAAATGCTCATTCTTTGCTGGCTGGAATGCAAAATGTTTCAGCCACTTTGGAAGACAGTTTGGCAGTTTCTTACAAAACTCAACATACTCTTAACATACAATCCAGCACTCACACTCCTTGGTATTTACCCAAGTGAGTTAAAAAAAAAAAATCATGTCCACACAAAACCTGCACACAGGTGTTGATTTATTCATAGTTGCCAAAATTCAGAAGCAACCAAGATGTCCTTGGGTAGATGAACGGATGAATAAACATCCAGACAATGGGATATTATTCAGCACTAGAAGGAAATGAGATAACAAGCCATGAAAAGACATGGAGGAAAGTTGAGTGCATGTTACTGAGCGAAAGAAGCCAATTTGGAAGGCTATCTGCTGTATAATTCCAACTATGTGACATTTTGGAAAAGGCAAAATTGTGGAGACAGTAAAAAGACCACTGGTGGCTAGGGGTTGGTGGGGATGGAGGGGTAAATAAAGAGGATTTTTAGGGCAGTGGAATACTTTATATGACACTATAATGGCACATACATGCCATTGGGTCTTCGTCCAATTCCACAGAATGTAAGACACCAAGAGTGAGCCCTAATGTAAACTCAGGACTTTGGGGGAGAATAATGTGTCAGTGTAGACTGATCAGTTGAAGCAAATGCACCATTACAATGGAAGGTGCGGAAATGCACTGGGAGAGGCTATGCATGTAAGGGGCAGGTTTAAATGGGAAATCTCTATACCTTCCACTCATTTTGCTGTGCTAAAACTGTTGTAAAATATTTTTTTTTAAATACAAGGCATACACTGAGAGACTGAGAGAAAATATTTTCAAATTACGTATCAAACAAAGGACGGATATCCATTTCCTAAAAGAAACAAAAACAAAAACATAAAAACAACCTTTCTAAACTCAATTAGAAAATAATCAAATTTGAAAATAGTGGTCAGCCACAGTGGCTCTTGCCCATAATCTCAGCACTTTGGGAGGCCAAGGTGGGAGGGTCATTTGAGCCCAGGAGTTTGAGACTAGCCTGGATAATATAATGAGACCTCATCTCTACAAAAAATTAAAAGACTAGCTGAGCATGATGACACATGCCTGTGGTCCCAGCTACCCAGGAGACTGAGGCAGGAGGATCACTTGAGCCTGGGAAGCACAGGTTGCCCTGAGCTGAGACTGTGTCACTGCACGCGAGCCTGGGTGACAGAGTGAGACCCCATCTCAAAAAATATAAATATATTTTAACATATATATATATATATATATATATATCGCAAAAGACTTGGATATTTCACTAAAGAAGGTATATGGATAGCAAAAAAATCATATGAGAAGGTGTTTGACATCATTAGTCATTAGTGAATTGCAAATTAAAAGCACAAACTCCTACACATCTTGTAGGACAGCTAAAATACAAAACAATAATAATATGAATGCTGGTGAGATCATGGAGAAACTGGATCTCTCATACAGTGTTGATGGGAATACAAAGTGGTACATCTACTTTGGAAAACAGTTTGGCAATTTTTATAAAGTTAAACATATACCTTAAAACCTTGATACCAGGCCAGGTGTGATGGCTCACGCCTATAATCCCAGCACTTTGGGAGGCTGAGGCAGACAGATCACCTGATGCCAGGAGTTTGAGATCAACCTGACCAAAATGGCAAAAACCCATCTCTACTAAAAACACAAAAATTAGGCTGGGCGCGGTGGCTCAAGCCTGTAATCCCAGCACTTTGGGAGGCCGAGGCGGGTGGATCATGAGGTCAAGAAATCGAGACCATCCTGGTCAACACGGTGAAACCCTGTCTCTACTAAAAAAATACAAAAAATTAGCTGGGCATGGTGGCGTGTGCCTGTAATCCCAGCTACTCGGGAGGCCAAGCCACAAGAATCGCCTGCACCCAGGAGGTGGAAGGTTGCAGTGAGCAAGGTCGTGCCACTGTACTCCAGCCTGGGCGACAGAACGAGATCCTGTCTTAAAAAAACCAAAACAAAAAAATTCTAGAGAAGCTGAACTCTTTTTCTTTAAAAAAAAAAACAAAAACAAAAAAACAACTTTTATGCCACTCTTATTTACCCTAAGAGAAATGAAAATGTATATTCACTCAAAAACTTGTATATGAATGTTTACAGCAGTTCTATTTGTAATTATCAAACACTGGATAGTCCATTCTCACACTGCTATAAGGAACCACCTGAGACTGGGTAATTTACCAAAAAAAGAAGTTTAAATGGCTCACAGTTCTGCAGACTGTGCCGGTGGCGTGGCTGCGGAGGCTTCAAGAAACTTTTAATCATGACGAAGGCGGAGGGGAAGCAAGCACATCCTGAGTGGCTGGAGCAGGAGGAAGAGAGGGAAGGGGGAGGTGCCACACACTTTTAAACAACCAGATCTCGTGAGAACTCACTATCACGAGAACAGCAAGGGGGAAATCTGCCCCCAGGATCCAATCAACACCTACTAGGCCCCTTCTCCAACACTGGGGATTACAGTCTACATAAAATTTGGGCAGGGACACAAATCCAAACCACATCACAACCTAAACGTCCTTCACTGGGGAAGGGATGTACAAACTGTGGTCTATCTATACCATAGAATACTGCTCAGTAAGGAAAAGGAACGGACAATTGAAAGGCACTCCATCAGGAATGCATCTCAAATACATCATGATACATCATGATAAGTGAAAGAACCACGAAGACTCGTATTGTTAGATTCTGTTTATGTAACATTCTGGAAAAGGCAGAACTATAGTGATAGAAAATAAATCAGTGGGCCAGGCACGGTGGCTCACGCCTGCACTTTGGGAGGCCGATGCAGGCAGATCACCAGAGGCCAGGAGTTTGAGACCAGCCTGGCCAACATGGGAAAACCCTGTCTCTAGTAAAAATACAAAAATTGGCCGGGCGCGGTGGCTCACGCCTGTAATCCCAGCACTTTGGGAGGCTGAGGCAGGCGGATCACGAAGTCAAGAGATCGAGACCGTCCTGGTCAGCATGGTGAAACCCCGTCTCTACTAAAAATACAAAAAATCAGCTGGGCCTGGTGGCGCGTGCCTGTAATCCCAGCTACTCAGGAGGCTGAGGCAGGAGAATTGCCTGAACCCAGGAGGCAGAGGTTGTGGTGAGCCGAGATCGCGCCATTGCACTCCAGCCTGGGTAACAAGAGCAAAACTCCATCTCAAAAAATATATATATATACAAAAATTAGCCGGGTGTGGTGCCACACACCTGTAATCCCAGCTGCTCAGGAGGCTGAGGCAGGAGAATCACTCGAACCCAGAAGGCACAGGTTGCAGTGAGCCAAGATCGCAACTGCCCTCCAGCCCGGGTGAAAGAGCAAAACATTGTCTGAAAAAAAAAAAAAAAAAAAAAAAAAAAAATCACCACATTCATGTCATTTTTCTACACTGGGTAGCATTGGCGCCAACTACTAAGTGCATTTTCTTCATTAGTCTTGATATAAATGGAAATGAGACAAAAGTTATTTCCTCCATTTTACTCAGGACTTAATCTAGATGTATCCAGTCAAAGGCAAGTGCCTGTAAGCAGAACCTTTAACTTTTAACAACCTATTTTGTGTGTGTTAAGTTGCAGTTCAAAACAGGGTGAAAAGCCTTGAAACTGTGAACCACTGTGAGCTACAAAGAATGCCAGATTTGATTGGTCCTATAAAAGTGATGTATTGTACATATGTGCATATGATTTGTAAGTATTTTCAGCCTACTGAAAACATTTTAAACATATGAAAATTAGCAGAAATAAAAATGAATGGATAGTAAGGGAAATAACATACTAGATTTGTGGCTTCGTGGAAATAAAGAGAAATTACTTAAACAAATCCAACATTCCGTGTAAATAAAAAGTTAAAAAGAAAAGTCAGCTCTAATTTATCCTAAGTTTGCACTTCTAGAGTCAAAGCACTTTGTTTTTTGTTTTGTCTTGGAATTGGGTCCCTTATATAATGCATGTCAAAATGGCTGGAAAATTATGATTACCTAGTGCTGGCTGAAATTCTTGTCCCACAAAGACAACTCCCTCCTGACTTCCTTTTTTTTTTTTTTTTTTCCTCCATATTTTGGGCACTGTGAGCTAATGGTTGGAACACAGGCAGGCAGGCAGTGTGGCTCTTCAAGAGAGAGAATTCCAGGGTTGGGCCTTTTAAGTTTGCAGGGATGATTAATTTACCAGGTCCTGCTGCCAGAGCCCCTTAAATACTCGCCTGTGGTCTCACACAGGGTGTGGGCAGCAGGAATTTTGCCACAGGCTAGGTTTTCACAGAAGCTCAATCTTGTTAAAAGTGTAATTTGGGTGCTCAAGGAAGAAGAAAAAGTAAATCAAAACACTTTCAGAGACCTAGGCACAACACTAACACCTTTGCTTTGATTGCCTCATCCACAAAGGCAGAATGGCATTATATACATTCAAGTGCCTACCGTCTACAGAAGGTTTTAAAGAAACATGCAGACACATTCTTATCCTACTTCCAGCAAATGTGCTGTTTTAGGTACATAACAACTCCTCAATTTCCCAGTAAGTCATCTATGATGAAGTTCATAAACATAATTAGAAAGTTTCTTTGATAGGGTGTAGTGGTGAATACCCGTAATCCCAGAAATTTGGGAGGCTGAGGTGGGAGGATTGCTTGAGCCCAAGAGTTCAAGATCAGCCTGGGAAACATAGGGAGACCCTGTCTCTATTTTAAAAATAAATACGCCGGGCGCGGTGGCTCACGCCTGTAATCCCAGCACTTTGGGAGGCCGAGGCGGGTGGATCACGAGGTCAAGAGATCGAGACCATCCTGGTCAACATGGTGAAACCCCGTCTCTACTAAAAATACAAAAAATTAGCTGGGCATGGTGGCACGTGCCTGTAGTCCCGGCTACTCGGGAGGCTGAGGCAGGAGAATTGCCTGAACCCAGGAGGCGGAGGTTGCGGTGAGCCGAGATTGCGCCATTGCACTCCAGCCTGGGCAACAAGAGCGAAACTCCATCTCAAAAAATAAATAAATAAATAAATACAAAAAAAAGTTTCTAGAAGAACCTCTTAGGAAGGAATGAGTTCAAAATGGCTAACATAGGTTTTGCCACCTGGGTACTGTGAAAAATTGTTTAAATTGAGTTCCTTAGACGGCTAATACTAAATAATATGAAGCGGCACTTATAAAACAATTAGGGGAATACGTGAAATAATGCTAAAAGTCCTTTTAGGGTGCTAAGTAAACCTTGAGATTTTGACAATACCCCTCCCTATTTCTCAAATACTGTCCCTTCTTGCTGGTACTAGATTCCTTTTTTTTTTTTTTTTTTGAGACAGAGTCTCACTCTGTAACCCAGGCTGGATGCAGTAGCGCTATCACAGCTCACTGCAGCCTCAACCGCCTGGGCTCAATCTCAGCCTCCCAAGCAGCAGGGATTACAGGCACACACCATCATGCCCAGCTAATTTTTTTTAAAAAGTTCTGTAGAGACTGGGTCTCGTTATGCTGCCTAGGCTGATCTAGAAATCCTGGCCTCAAGCAACCACCTCACCTCGGCCTTCCAAAGTATTGGGATTATAGATGTGAGCCACTGCTCCCAGCCCATTTTTCCACCTTTAATCAACCAATTGATTAATATTTATAGAACATTTGCAATATAACTGGCAGTGGAATAAGCAACAGGGAGAATCCAGAAGATACGGAATGCATGGTCCTTACATTCAAGATGTTTATAATCTATTTAGGAAAATCTAAGATTCAAAACAGCAGTAAACACCATATACCTTGGCATTATATATTTATACCCCTGTGCTTTACCAACATAGTCATATCCTGAGCAAGGAAGATGGGTGGAGATCAGAGTGCTTAGGCAAATCTTTAGAAATCTCATCTTTTTCCTGAGGAGAAAAGTGGGGCAAGAAAAATATAAAGCATGGAATCTTGAAATTTGGAGCCTGGAGGACAACAATATCATCTCTCACTAAGCAGGCAATCTAGAATTATGTAACCAAGTTGAATGGGACGAGAGAAGTGAATTTATTAAGATGGGGTGCCTAAAACTGTGCTGTACAATATGGCAGCTGTTAGTCACATGTGGCTATTTAAATATAAATTAATTAAAGTTAGATAAAATTAAAATTTTAATTCTTCAATCTCACTAGCCACATGTAAGTGGTCAATTGCCATATGTGGCTAGTGGTACCATATTGGATAGCACAGATATAAAATGTTTCCATCATTACAGAAAGTTCTCTTGAACAACAGAGTTCTAGAACCACAGAAGTGTGGAGCAAGAGGCAGAAAGTCGTGGCTCAAAAAAATCCCCCAAGTCAACTGGCTGGCGTATACATGATTACCATGACCACAAGTTGTATAAAATCCAAAAGTGGTCTAATGAATTGAACAAGTATACACTGAGCACCTAGTAATACAAGGCTAGGTGATATGAGAGACACAAAAGTAAAGCAGGTTCGAGTCTCAAAGAACTTAACATGAAGAGAGAAAATAAAGGCCTGTACATGAATAACAATAGTGCAAAATAAAAAGTGAGAGGCATCCGAAAGGCTGCAATTAAAGCATGCAGGTGTCGAAAGAAAGGACAGATTACTTCTGCTTGAAGGCTTCAAGAAGACCTCTTAGATAGGCATTATTTGAGCTAAACCTTGAAGAAAGCATTGGGGCACGGTGGAAAAATCCCTGGGGACCAGTAGTCCAGAGATGATCTCTAGGCTCAGTTACGTCCTAATTAACTGTGTGACCTCAGGTAAGCCAGGCTCCAGGCCTCAGTCTCTTTATCAGTTGGGTAACAAAAACAAAGAACTGAATTTCTAGGCAGAGAGATCAATAAAAGCAAAGCAATAAAAACAGGGATAGATTGGTATGTGTAGAGGAAATCATATAGTCGCGTTAATAATGAAGCATAGCCATAGTACAACTATCTTATAACTTGCACCTGGATATTATGATTCTCGCACAACCCAAAGCGTGTATACAAAAATGAAAAGTCAGCATCACACACACACACAAAAGCTGGGTTTTGGTCATGTTCAGATAGTTTAGATCAGATTTGAGAAGCAAAGCAGATAGAATGAAAGTGATTGTATTTGCATTTAAATATGGTTGTTAAGTGGAGCTGGAGAATAACTACTATTTTGGTTCCCTTTGAGAAAAGGCTGTCATTCATGAAATTATGAGCAAGTGCCACACTTCAGGAAACAATAAATAAAATTACAAGACATATCTGAGGAGGAAGAAAAGCAAGTTAGAGTTTGAAGCTGAGAAATCACTATGGAACAGGTAGTTAAAGGATAAAGCTGACATGAAGAGTAAAGCCAAGAACATGGCAAAATAAAA